CCTGTAGGTGTCTTAATGACACCTTGAAGGCTGTGAGAGGAAGTCTCTTGGGTCAGGACAGTTATTTCTGCCGTCTTTATATACATACAGCAAGATTATTTCCATCCACAGAGAAAATAGTTGCATAACTCGGAAGTCCACAGACCAACAGCTCCTGTGGTATTTTGTTCCTTCTGCTGTGCATCAAACAGGTGTGTAAGCAAATCTTTGCTTCTCGAGCTGTGCTGAAAGCTGTCCCTCCTCCTGCAAAGCTGCTGTTGCTCTCAGCAGGAGTTAAGCCCAGATTGGCAGTAAAGAACAAAGTCTGGCAGCTGGAAGAAAGGACAGCAAAGGCCGCATTCTTGTGGCTTTGCTACAGGAGAGGGAGACAAGAGCCTGCCCCAGCTGTGACTCTGCTGCAGAGTGACCTTTGGAAGGACATTTAGCCTTTCTCCATTTAGGTTGTGAACTGTTTGAGGCAGGGTTGTATTTAGCTCTTTTTGGGACAGTAACACACTGACCCTGACCTCAGCTTAGTTTCACTGTACTAGTTTCATGAAAATAATAGTAATAAATAAAAGTGTGTCCAGAGAAAACTCGTGCCTGCCTTTATTTCTTTCTTAGACATGGACAGTTAAATGATGGAAAAATACTTGCCTAACCCAAAAGAGAAACTTACAGTTTTCTGCTAACTTGCTGTAACTTGGCATGAATATAAGGAGGCAACCACAGCTGCTGTTTTGAGGTTGCCAGGGGCTACCATTACTGTGTATGTGATCCTGTTGCTTGTCCTGGGCAGCAGCCCTGTGACAATTTAACTTTAGAATACGCACCAAAAATCATGCTGGTTTTAGGGTGATTAGTGTTGTTATGACGCATGCAATTGCAGTCATGCCGTGTCTGAAGGAGGTTTCGGAGAGCATTGCACCCCTGCAGCAGAGTTCCCTGATGCTTTGCGATTATTCTGGTCAGCAGAGATTTTTAAATGTAATCACAGAGACTGAGCTGATGTAAGCCTCCAGGAATGACACAGAATACAGATGTTATCCATCCCTTTACTCGGCCTTGTCTTTATCCAGCATGGAGTGTTGTTTCAGTATACTTGGCACTAGCCTCCCTGGGTATGGTGACATGCGCTCTAGCTGATACAGTCTGGTATTGCTGCTGAATATGGTTATCTAAACTGAATATAGTTATCTAAAACTTGTTCTAAACCACAAGCATTAGATTCCCATTACTTTTCAAAATGTATCTGGTAGCTGTTGATGTTGCTTTGCATGTGTTCAGTGTAGGGGATATTTGGTATAAATGCTTTATCAGCTGGAAAAGTATCACCCATCACTATTAACCATATCCTGCTGCTGTTAGGCTTGCCATCAATAAGGGTTGTTAGACATGAACCCTTGAAACCTCTGTTATGTTGCATGGAAGAGGCAGGATATTTTATATAGTACTCAAGTTCACAATGAAATTGAATATAAATTAATTAAAACTGCTGATGTAGTTCACTGGGGACTGTTTTAGATGTGGCACGAAATGGGATGAAATTTGTTTATGTATTTGTTACACTCTTAAAAAAAAAAAAAGAACAAAAATGAAAACAAACGAACAACAACAAAAAACCCCCAAAATCAAAACAACAACAAAACCCAACACCAAACCGCAATGCCTTCCTTATATATTTATTTCCCTGACTTAGGATAAAAACAGAACAACAACAACAAAAAAACAATCCCCAAAAAAACCCAAACCCCCTTACTAGTTAATGGAAATGTCAACTCTAGTCTTGCCTAGCCATACTGAAGAATTTGTTGGAGGAACTGACCCATGAACTGAGAGACTAGGTGTTTCTTTCTCCAAGGCATAACCTAAGAGTTAAATATGAACAAACAAAAATTAATGCATGGGTTTTTTAAAAGCTATTGTTAGCTTTTGGACTGTCAATTCATTTTACATTCCAATAGAAATATGTAGGACAATTTTGAGAAAATGTCATGTAGTGATCTGACAATAATTTATGTCCTTCTCTAGTATTTGGATTTCACTTGATGATTTTTTTTTTTAGTAAAGACTAAATCCAGGCAGTGTTTCTAGAAACATACTTGTACTGATGCAAATTAGCAGAGACCACTGTGCATGGCCAGTCCAAAAGCAGCACACACATCTGCATGTCAGCATGATGTGTAGTTATTTGTCTTTAATAAAGAGTGTGAGGAATGAAGAGAGTATTATAGGAGGGTTGTTTGGGCTCTTTCCTCAATTATGTGTGTACTTGGAAAGTGTCATGGTGTGACTTTCAGCTGCCTCGACTCAGTGTAATGATAGGGACTCTGAGAAATCCCAGTGACTTCTTTCAGTTTAAGATGATAGAGCTGGAGATGTGTTCCCAGGGTTGTTGAACGAGAAACATTTGCAAGCTTTTAGTTAAGCAAGAACTGAACAATGGACCTGAAGTAAAACCCTGATTCAAACTCTCCAAAGTTCCAGAAAAATAATCTGCAGTCTTTGTAATTGCAGGTCAAAAACTCTGGATCTGAGCTTCCTGACAATTTGGAGATGCTCCAGTCTGAGTCCTGGTTCCAAACTGTACAGCTTGAGCCAGACTCTACAAAGAGTCAAGCAGCATAGAATAAATGGTTACAGCTGCCATGAGAAAAGGGTCTGATGCACATGTTTGAAAACTCACAGTAGTAGCTTTTTTTCCTGTTAGGTGACATTAAGTTCTAAAAGTGCGATTAATAAATGATTTCTTTGAGCTAACTAATGGCTGCATTTTCTGCATAGCATAGTGGCAAGCCAGTATAATGTACAATTCATCTCCACTTTGCCTTCCCTTACAAGTCAGTTATGCATTGAGCTTCAAAATCACATTTGACTAAATAAAAGCTGCCCGGAGAGAGGAATAGGCAATCTTCTTTGGCTTCCCCAGTTAAAATTGCAGCTGCAGAGACAAGAGACTTTTGTTTTTTGTCAGCAAATCAGTATAACACACAAAGCCAGATATCCAAGGATTGGACCATAGGATGTTCAGTTGTTTTCTGTAGTTTATGCTGTTTATGTGAGAACAACAGTAATATCTCCCTGTCTTTCCCATAGGAATCAGATGACGAAGATGGATTGCCAAAGAAAAAGTGGCCAACTGTGGATGCATCTTATTATGGAGGTCGAGGTGTTGGTGGGATTAAGAGGATGGAGGTATTTGGCTTGTTCTTTAATGTTGTAAAAATAAGCACATTTAATTATAAATCATAGCAATATGTATTTATGTGTGTTTTTTTTAAAGTTACCTTGATTGGACTAGAGACTGGAATTTAATTAGGGCTTGTCCACCTGATTACACCTGCTGTCAAAGAAACAGACATCATTCATATGAATAATTAAATGGATCTAGCATTATGAGCCAGAGAAAATTTGCAGGTTAAGAAATGGGATAAGCACCAAAATAAATTTAAAGTTACTGAACCAAACCCTTCAGTGCAGTTGGGTCTGGTTCTCTTGTCTCAGGCAGAGTTACACTGGTTTTGAGTATTTGAGGGTGCCATCTACACTGCACTTGACTGGCTGGAAGCAGTTGGTTTGGGGAATTTAAGCCAGTGATTTTTTTTTCTTTTTTTTTTCTTTTGGGTTTGTTTTCGTTTGGGGCTTCTTTCTTTTTTCTTTTTTTTGGTTAACTTCTAATGCACAAAATCACATCTATGTAGAAACTGGCCAAGTCGTCAAATCCTATTCTGGGATTCATGCACAAGCCAGGCTTGATGTGTAAAGTGAGGTGTCACTGAGAAAGAAACTTGCCTTGTGCTGTCCTATGGCATGTATGTTCCAGGGAGTCAGTAGAAAATGATGTGATCAGCTACTAATGCCTGTAAATGACCATGTTAGTGAAATCAATTCAATATTCCTGATCATAGATAATATAAGGAAGGGAATTGTCACTCACCTGTGTCAGCTGAGAGCCTAATGTTAACTTTTAGGAATGTCACACCAGAAGTTCCCACTAGATTTTATTGGTAGCTGAGGGAGGTGGGCTAATGTAATCCAGCTGAGGACCTGGACCAAACTAGGGCTAAAAGAATTAAAGCAATGGCTTCTCAGCAAGTCCCTGCAATTCTGCAGTTGAAGTATTGCATCTTAGAATCATAGAATCATTATGGTTGGAAGAGACCTCAAAGATCATCAAGTCCAACTGTATACCCAATGCCACCATGCCTGCTAAACCATATCTCAAGCGCCACATCTAAACGTTTTCTGAACACCTCCAGGGATGGTGACTCCACCACCTCCTTGGAGAGCCCGTTCCAATGCCTAATGACTCTTACAGTGGAGAAGTTCTTCCTAATATCCAACCTGAACCTCCCCTGGTGCAACTTGAGACCATTTTCTCTTGTCCTATAGCTGGTTACCAGGGAGAAGAGACCAACCCCCACCTCGCTACAACCTCCTTTCAGGTAGTTATAGAGGGCGATAAGGTCTCCCCTCAACCTCCTTTTCTCCAGACTAAACAACCCCAGCTCCCTCAGCTGCTTCTCATAAGACTTGTTCTCCGGGCCCTTCACCAGCTTTGTTGCCCTTCTCTGGACACACTCGCTCCAGCAGCTCAATGTCCTTCTTGTAGTGAGGGGCCCAAAACTGAACACAGTATTCAAGGTGCGGCCTCACCAGCGCAGAGTACAAAGGGATGATCACTTCTCTAGTCCTGCTGGCCATGCCATTTCTGATACAGGCCAGGATGCTGTTGGCCTTCTTGACCGCTTGGGCACACTGCTGGCTCATGTACAGCCGTCTGTCGACCAACACCCCCAGGTCTTTTTCCGCCGGGCAGCTTTCCAACCACTCATCCCCAAGCTTGTAGCTTTGCATGGGGTTGTTGTAACCGAAGTGCAGGACCTGGCACTTAGTCTTGTTGAATCCCATACAGTTGGTCTCAGCCCAACGACCCAGCCTGTCCAGATCCCTCTGTAGTGTCTTCCTACCCTCCAGCAGATCAACACTCCCACCCAGCTTGGTGTCGTCTGCGGACTTACTGAGGGTGCACTCTATCCCCTCATCCAAATCATCAATGAAGATGTTAAACAGAACTGGCCCCAAAAATCTTAATATCCTTAACCATTTCCCTCGGGAGAATTTTATCCTTAATGCTGAGTAACCCTGTGGATCATATATTGCACTTGAATGAAGGGTCACATTTTTGTTTGAGGTCAGTCAGACAACAAAATCAGAATTTCAACTTGAAATAAGTAGTGTATAGTATATGAAGATAAAGTTACTGTTCTCTCTTGTGACTGTGCAAAGTTGACTTTGGAAGAGCTGTTTTTAGTAGTAGCTGCACAAGTTTGAGGTCTGATGCTCTTAAACCATTCGTGTACTTGTCCATTGACCCCTTTTTTCGCTTTTGAACTGAACAACAGGAGCTGCTTAGGGCTAGCTGTAAAGACTACCTACTTTCAGCTGGTGCTCCTGCCTGCTTTTTGCATGAGGCAATGGGAAACATATGACACCTGTGTCCTAGCAAAGCTGGGCAGAGTGCTTCAGATTTCACTTGGAAATGGGTTAATCTGCCCTGGATGCTGTGAATTCTCACAACACTTTAGGTTGCTGGAAGGTGCAAAGGCCAGTAGTTCAAGCAGCTTTTGAGTGAGACTGTTTGACTCTTAAATGTGTATTTCTGATTACAGTGGGAGTTTGGTGCCTTCATAAATTTGGCTTCATGTCTGGTAGCATTGGGTTATCTGGTGGGAACTAGATTAATGTCTGTGAAAACCATCTGCTGCTGGGGACTGCTGAAGTGTCTCTACTTAACAGTGTACTCTCCTGACTTCAGGTGCGATGGGGAGACAAAGGGTCAACAGAGGAAGGAGCAAAATTGGAGAAGCCCAAAAATGCTATTATTAAGTTGCCAGAACAGGAGTATGAGCCATGGGAACCCAAGCCGAAAAAGCCCCATGTGAGAAAAACACCTTCCCAGCGGAAATGGTACACTCCGATCAAGGTAATGTGTCTTCACTTCAGTTTTATCAAGTCTCTTATGTCATGCATGTCACTACATCCTGCCTCCTTAGCGCAACCTACCTTACAGCAGGGCTGGGAGAGCCTGTTTAGAAAAATGGCCAGTAACCCTCAACTTTGCCCATTTCTTGGAACATGCATTTCACCTGCTACTGTATTGCCATAGCTTTTTGAGGAAGAGTGGAGAGTGTTGGAGAGCATGAGCAGAGATCTTCTCTCCCTCAGCTCACACCTTCTTTTCGGGTACTTTTGCACAGCCTGGATTGCAACAGCAGGTATCTCAACTCTCAGGGAGGGCAGATGCTGTTTTGTGCCATCTCAAGGCAGCATGCAAAGAGGATCAGATAAAGTGCACCATCCTTGCTTTGATTGCGCTGTGGCTAAGGCCTTGGGTTGGGATTCAGCTTTGTTCCCCTCTAGTTCAGCCTCAAGATGTAGTGTTTGATTTTGGGCAAGTAGCTCAGTCTGTCCCCACTTTCATTCTCACTTCTCCCATGTCATTGTAGTATCTAGTGTCTCCCTGTCTTTTAATGTATGTATCCTCACACGACCATTGAGGCAGGGCAGAGATGTTATCTCCACTTACAGAAAAGGAAGCTGGAGGGCTAGTGCAGGCCAAGGAAGCCGCATACCATGCTCATCCCAGAAACCTGTGGCCATGTCCCAAACCAGTGCTTTGTGGGATGAGGTCCCCTCTCCCCCCCATGCTCACAGATCAGTTTAACAGTGCTTGAATTTATTGTCTGGAAAGTAACTGTGAATTTTAAAGCCTGCCTAGGTAGGTAGTCTTGTGGCTGTTTATCCATGCTCCAGCTCTCCTTCCATCAGTACTTTTGTTGTTCTGCCTTTTATTAATGTAACACCTGTCTAATTGTGCCTCTTAGTTTAATGTGACCTACTCCCCTACAGTTATCCTCAGTGAGTTTTGAGCAGGCTGAATTTGGCCCATTGCATATCAGGTACATGCTACGCCATTGAGGTCTCTTTTCTGGCTGTCCAGATAAGCAGTATACAGAGGGCAAGGGCACAAGAGCAATGTTTGTGCGGACAGTTTAATACAGAAAGGCTGCATCAACTCACCTGTAGTTTAATCTCGTGCTGTTTTCCCCAAATGTCTTGGTCATGTCTCTTTTAATTTTTATTTTTTATTCCAGGGCAAACTTGATGCACTTTGGGCTTTGGTTCGACGAGGCTATGATCAAGTCTCTCTTATGAGACCACAGCCAGGGGATAAGGTAAGGTGTCGCAAACATACTGGCATGTCACTTCTCTGCTAGCAGCAGCAATGGTCATCCCTCCCAACCACTCCATCTTTTTTTCTTTTTTCTTTTTTTTGTGAGCTTGTCTCTTTTCACATTACCCTAAGGCTAAAAATTTGTCACAAGAACCAGAGACTTCATAAAGTGCTAAAATGTTTGCTGTGGCATCTTTTAAAAAGTATTACCCCAGAAGGTCAACAGTAATGTCTCCACTGTGATGATTTGAGCAGACTGAGGAAGAAGCTGGCTGGCCACAGTAGTACATGAGACCTTTTTCAGCCATATAAGTTCTTAGCCTTTTTTTCTGGGCATACATGTTGAAGTCAAAGGATAGGTTCTTTGCAGGTTCTGGGCAACTGCTCATTTTGAATTTAATATGCAGTAGTCATTCTACAAAAGTAATTATCCTTCCTACCTACCTTCATAAAAATGCTTCTCAGGTTTAATAATAGAGTTAAGTAATTAACAAGAGAAATCACGAACTGTGCAGGTGATGAAGAAACAAATCATAGCAAAGTTAATGGAGAATAAAGTTTCTGTAGAATTCTGGGCAAAGACATATTTCTTGATCGTATCCTATATATAGGCAGAGAGTATCTCCTGCCTTGATTAAGACTATTGGCATAGGTCAGGAGTAGATTTCTCCTGGGAGGAAACAGGGAATTTGTGCCTTTCAGAGCCAGAGAGATGTCTGTGTGCTGTCCCTGGGTCACTTGTTTAGCTTAGTTCAGAGCTCTCACAATTTCCTAGTGAGAGCTTGGCACCATTATGGTTGTCTCTATCTTGTTATTCTGGGGAGACAACTGCATAAGAATCGAATGCTGTTGCTTTGGGCTGTTGTGCCTTCAGATTTGGCTTCCTGCAGTGGCATTTTGAAACATGAGGACTGAGCAGAGACAACAGCATCTTTCTCCCCCCTGTAGCCCTACTCTGGCCAGACTCCATACCTTTCATCACCTTTGCTCTCAGGGGAAGGGGTTATAGAGTTACAGCAGCAGGGGCCATAAAATGCTTTTCTGGGGTAGGAGTTGTGCAGACACCCTTGTGCTGGGCTTGTTTGCCTGGGTGACTTTCACACCTAATAACAGACTTTAAAAGTAGCCCTAATTTGCATCATCTAGGGCAAATAAGTTGCATCCCTCTGGCTTTTGGCAAAATACCATTATGGCATTTGTCTAGCTATTAACCAAACATGCAGTTTCAGTATTTAAAGTTTAGTCTCTTCTATTTTTCTTTTGGTGCATAAGGAAACTAAGAGAACAAACTCAGCTTCCTATGCTACTTTGTAAAATGGTCTTAACTGTTTCACTAAGCTGCATTTTCAAGGCAGCTGTGATTGAGGCACCTTATTTATTTTTTAAGCACGATCTCGAGCTTCTAAATATGCTCTTTAGGCCCAGCTGTATTTTGATAGCACTAACATTGTATAATATGAATCTATGCCTTTCACTCCCCTAGTTGGTACATTTCTACCAGTGCAGAGCACAACGGAGCCTCTGTTAGCCTGCACAGTCAAGAAACATGCAGGGGGCTGGCTCTAAACAGAGATCCTCAGTTCCTTGCCTTCCAGCTCTGCTGCAGGGAGGACAAGGGGCTCAAAAGAATCAATGTAAAACACAGTGAGCTGAAAGATTATTGTATTGGGGAGAACATTAGAAAAATCAAATGTACATCGGGGACATAGGGTGGAAAGAATCCTATTGAGCCAGATTCAGTGGAAAAATAGGATCATCTCTGTTCCCTGGCCTGTGAAATTAACTAAAACTGAAGAATATTGAAAGTGAAACAAGAAAATTACTAGACATCCTTCTGCTGTTTTTAAAAAAAAAAAAAAGGACATCACAGGCCCATAGTTCCTGGAGAAAGCAAGCATAGAAAAGAGCAAGGTTATTGGTTTGGTTGACTTTTCTAGTAGGAATCCCTCAGTGGAGAATTGGCCTCTTGTGTGTTAGGCTTTTGGTGAGGGGGGAGTGTATAAATATACATGCATGTACACCATAAGTATATAAAAAGTATACACACATGCATATAGTTACTTTGTGGCTGAAGAATGGGGAGTTCAAGTCAGTGTTATGAGGGATGGGCACTGTGGAGGGCCTGGAACTCTGCCTGTGTGGAGCTGGAGCAGCATGGCAGGTGGAGGAGCAAGCCTGCGGCTCCCCTAAACCTAGCCCAGGCACGGACAAGGTCACTACTGTCAGCACACCTGTACAGCAGTCTATGGATTTTGGTTTACTCTTGGGTAGACATGAGAGTACCAGCTTGACATGCTTTGGTGCGTGGTGTTCTTCCAGACTGTGCCATCCAGAGGCCAATGACTGTGTGGTGATCTTGGAGAGAGGGATTGTTTTGCTTTGTGGGGTTTTGAGGATTGGTGGGGGCAGTGGAAAGAGTTCTTTGGTTTTTTTAGTTTGCCTTTTTTTTGTTTGATTTTGAGGTAATTTCATTGTGGTCTTGGTTGTTCAGGAAAATTTAGAACTCGGAAAGCAAAAGGAACACAATTTAACTCTGTTTTGGGAGTGACATTTGGATTCATAACTCAGAAAATTCCTATCTCTCAATTTCCCAGAATCAGTCGAGTTATTATCTTTACATTTTCACGGATTACCAGAGATATAGGTTGTTTCCCACTGCAACAAGATAACTCACTGAAGTTACATTTTCCAAATTTGTTTCACAATTTACCTCTATTGAAAAAAAAAGTTTTCATTTTCCATTTTTATTGCTTTAGTTGGGTGTATGTTTGCTTTTTGCAACCATTGGGAGAAATTATACCAAAACACTCTTTTCTGCATAATGAAAATACTAATTATAGAGAGGAGAACATCCAGTATACAGGGAGGAAAAATATTTTTCACAAGGCTTTTTGGGACAGGGGAATATGACAAAGGAGAAATTTTTGACATTAAAACATTCTTTAAAAACTCTTTTGAAAAGTGTAATATCTTTCATAATTTAAAAATTAGTACTGTGGTTTGGGAGCTTTTCTCCCCTAAAAAACCTGAAAAATAGTTGTAGAAAACCTCTTTTTGTGATAGTTTTGGTGGAAAACAAAATATGTTAATGTTTTTGGTATATTCACCAATGTATCTGATTTTGTCACTGACAAGTAAAAGCCTGTTGAATGTTTTTTCAGAGTAGTTCAGCATCTTCCCTCACACCACAGCCCTCTTCCCTTTGGCTCTGCAAATGATGCAGTGAAGGCAGTATTGCTACCCCAGGTTGTCAAATCATGACTTCTTCCTCACTCCCATCATGCAGTGAAGTTTAAAATGGCACTGTTTGTGGGGTTTGGGTTTTTTTTTAGTCTTCATGTATTGAAGCCCATTCCAGTGTACGTGTGAGAGGCTTGCAGTGGGCTGAAGCATGTGTGCAGGAATACAGCGCTGACTGCTGCAAGGGACTTTCTGTTGTCCTTTGCTCTGGGTGACCAGGGCTGCTGTCCATCCATCCTCATTTCTTCCTTCATCCTGTTGCCTTTCCCAAACCACCTGCTCTTTTCCTTACCTGTGCCCCCCTTGGACTCCTGCCCTAGATATTCCCTTCCCTTTCCTTTTGTGGTTTCTTCCTCTGCTTGCTGTTTCTCTCAGTCTTTGTTTTCCTGCACCTCACCCTGATGAGACAGACTGATGCCCTGAAGTCCTGCCCTCTGGGAGCAATAGGCTGGTGATCAGCATCCTTCCCCTGTTCCTCTCATGCTCCAGGAACTGAGCTGCTGGTAGCACTATGCCCTGGGTTATGGCCTTGCTGCAGAGCTGGCTGAGGCTCCTGAGAACTCCCCTGCCCTGGCTCATGCCTTCCACAAACTTATCAAGAAAAGGATCTCGGGATGGATGACCCATCAGTATTAAGCAGGATTGTATTAATAGCACTGCCTGTGAAAATCAAAGGCACTTTTTGGAACTGCCTATTTAAAGAAAACCAGCCAAGCACAAGCTCTGATGCCCCTTCTCCTGGGAGCTGTGCCCATGGTGTTTGGCTTGACTCTGCAGACAGCTCCTCCTCTTGGTCTCTATTCAAGATCATGTCATAGCACCACTGCTGAAATTGGTTATTGGTTTGGCATGTACCTCAGTAAAGGGTCACAGGACTCTGCTCACTTGACTTCTTCAGGTCACCCCTAGCAGGAGCTTCTGTTGCACCACGATGGGACAGCAAGGGGTGAACACACTTAGCTCTACCCCATCATTAGCAGATAGGCTGCTCTTTGTGGGGTGGCTTTTTGCTGAGCTCTCAGCATCAGCAGTGGAGCAAAGAGATGAAAAAGGGCTAGCAACTGTGCTGCAGATTGGGCTTTCTTCCTTGCACTAATGTACAAAGGTGAAGTCTTCATAGGCATTTGTGCTACTGCTGCAGTGATGGATCCCTTAGGGCTAGGCTGCTATTCTTCCCTTCCCCCAGAAATTTGGGGCTTAGCAGACCAGCAGTCACTCTTTTGGCCCAAGAAAGGGTTAGACAGCTCCGAGGTGGGGACCCTGCTCGTCCAGCAACAGGGAGCATGTCAGAGTGACCATATGGCCTGATGAGCTATGTGATGCTCAGGATACTCAGGCTGCCTTGGGGACTTCTCCATCACTGTGTTGGTGTCCTCCTGAGCTTTGCAGGGGGCTGCTGTGAAGATTGGAGTTCGGGAAATATTAATGTCTGGGCTATCTTGAATCATTTTACAGAAACCACTGTAGCTGGTGGGGCAGGTTGTCAGTAGTCTCTGCAAAAAGGAACTTTCAAGCTCTTCCCCTTGGCCTCATGAATCAAAAGTGGATCTGTTGCCAACACCAGCAAGTAAACATTAAAAGCCCCAGTATGTGCAGAGAGGCAGGAGAGATGCTTCTTTCAAATGGTCAGCTTAGTTGCTGCTTTCAGCAAATCCATTCCATTTTGCATTTTGGCATATACTGTCACTGGAAATTCTCAGGCTTGGTTTACCAAAAACCTTAACTAAAAGAAGACGTTTTTTCCCCCTAGGCAGAATTGCTCTTGT